AGTGGCCTGCGGCTGCCCGTCCCGGCGGCGGCGGTGGTGCCAGGCCTTTTTGGTTGGAGGGGGTCGGGAGTGGGTTTTGTGTGGCTGCTGGGGGTCTCTGAGACTGTGGCCGCCGGGCCTCGGGCTCGTTTGCCCTGTGTAGAGGGGCTCGGGCTGGATGCCCACATTTTGCCTCTCTAGGGGCTGGGGGAGTGCCTTGGCTCGGGGTGAACACGTGTTGTCCTGGGCTTTTTTCCTCTGCAGAGCGCCGGCAGCCGAGGAGAGCAAGCCCGGCAGCTGGTCATCGACCTGGAGACTCGAGGGAAACGGGCTTTCCCTGTATTTCTCTCGATCCTGCGGGACACTGGGCAGGGCGACCTCGCGGACATGCTGAGCGAGGCGTGCGAGCGCCTGCCAGCACCGCCGCAACCGGTAGACCTGAGGCCTGTGGAGCTGGCCCTCACTGGAGAAAAGCATAATAAAAGTAAGTGTCGAGGGCACAGGTGTTTTGGGGGCCAATGGCAGCTGGAATCCCTCTCTCTGGGGGTAATAGCGTGCGAGGCCTTGTTTTTAACGATCCTGAAGCATGGCTCCTAGAGGCGAGCATGCCGAGCTGTTGGGAGAATGCCGTGTTTTCCAGCAGCGGCAGATTTCTGCCCCAGCTGCGTGCCCACAGCTTTAGCAGCTGCCTTCTCTGTATTGCTGCATGCGACCTCCATGGTCCCTTGGTGGAAATGGATTTTGCCGCGTGCTCGCCGTCTCGCGCGCCGGTGAATCTGCATGCCGATCCATTTTGTGCAGCAGTGGTGAGAAACTGTAGTCTTTGGAACCCAGAAAGGGGCAACGCAGAGGCCCTGTCGTATGGCACCTTGCAGCAGGGTCCCTGTGACAGGCCACCGTCAGTTCGGGTCCTTCTGGGGACCCCGGGTTGGTTACGTATAGCGTGATACGGGGAGGGGGAGAAGGCGAGACCTGACCGTCCTCTCTCATGGCAGATGCGAACTTGCCTGAGCGTTCATCGATCCCGATCCGAGCGGAGAGCGAAAGACCTCAAACACCTCCCGTGCCAGCCCGGGGTAAGCCGTGTCCTGGGCTCTTCCAGGGAGACGGCGTGCCAAACGCTGGCATCCGGCGTGGGGCAGGGCGGGAAGGGGGGGGTTGGTGTCGGTAGCCGATGCGTTGCAGGTGCCGGGGAAGCACTGATGTTAATTCTAGGAGGAAGGCGTGCAACATCTCGTTGCAGAGCACCAAGAGTTCAACGCTGTGTCTCTGTTGTGTGTTGTAGGTTCGGCCGTTGGTGAGAGGAGCTGCGATCTGGTGAGTATTTGGGTAGGCCGGAAGCGTTCCCCACGAAGCCAAAGCCCCGTCCGCGCCTGGTGGGCGGCTGCCAGAGCATGGCCCTGGGACGGCCGGTTCTGCCTTTGCCTTAGCTGCGCGACCGCCCACGCCGCTGTCACGGGGCCCGTCGGCGCAGAGCTCCTCTGCAGATGGCCGCAGCCGTAGCGCGAGTAACGCTGAAGCCTGCGCTGAGTTGCTGAAGGTGCCGCGTTGCGCGGTGTTCAGGAACTGTAGTTGAGAGACAGACGCCAGGGAAGCGAACCAACGCTTGCAGTGCACTGCGGCGCGTTGGGGAAGGCACAGGGAGGCGAGCTTTGCGAGTATGTCTGGAGCTGCCCTCTCACAGCCTGTGTCTGATGCCGAGCAAGTAGTTTGGCCGCGTATTTGTGTGGCTCGTGGCCTGGTATTGGTGTGGCTGTTTGGGTCGCCCTCCTCAAATTCCTGTGGTGTCGTTGTCGATGGTAAAGCTGAGTTTCTGGGAGATTTATTGGACTGTTTACTTGGCTCCTTGCCAGGGCTCTGCCTCCGTGGCGAGGTTTGACGATGATGCCTAAAAAACCTCCCAGTAACCTCAGCTTGCCCTCGGAGACGCCGCGGGTAACGAAGCAGCCGCCGTTCTGCCGAGGCGGTCCCCGTTTGGCAGGTTGCTTTGTGTTCCCTGGCCACTGTTCACAATGTGCGCGTGGAGAGCAGACGCTCTTACCCATCCCTAGAACAGGAGAAATGGGAAAGCGGTGATGGGAGTGACTTTAAGGTCTCCCGTTCCTGGCTGCCGTTGCGTCCCGCTGGAGTAGCCAGCGAGCGCTCTGCACGCGGGGAGTGTGTGACTGCGACGTGTGCCTGCCAGGTGTACGAGGTGAGAGCGGACCCGTGCGGATACTGCCTGATCCTCAACAACGTCACCTTCAGCCGAGACTCGCATCTGTCGAATCGCGACGGCTCCGATGTGGACTGCGAGAAGCTGGAGAAGCGCTTAAGGGCCTTGCGCTTCCACGTGCTGACTCGGGAAGCTCGGGTGAGGCCGGCCGCGCTCAGCTAACGTGAGGGACGTGAGGCGAGCCCCTGGAAGGTGCGGGAGCACGTTAGGGAGATGCCCCTGTGTCGGCGGCACGCCTGCAGCCCCAGCTCGCCCCAAGAAATAATCCCCTGCTCCTATCCTTGTATTGTATTGTCACGCTGCAATTGCAGAAGGAGAAAGGCCCGTGCGTGGTTCCACCCCTCTCCCGGAACTTTGCTTCCTGGTTGTGATGCGTGGGGAAATGGGTGAGGCTGCATCGCGGCGACCGGGATTGCGTGCGGCGGGGGATGCGATCGGTCTGTCCGTCCAGCCCGCGGCCGGCAGTCCAAGCGGCACGGGGAGCTCGATTGGCCGCTGAGAGAAACGCGAGGTTCTCTGCTCCCCCACCAGCCCCCGATCGCCAACGGGGCCTTTCAGTGCCTAACGTGTATAGCGGTGGGTTGTGGTTTAGGTTGCTGCGTTGTAAAGAATGCAGTGAGCAGAGAAATGTCTGGAAAAAAAAAGCAACTGATCTTAAACAAGGGCAGAGCTGCGGAAACCCTCCCTGTCTGTCGATGGGTTTGGCTCCTAGAATGTGCGGTGTGTGTTATCCCTCTCTGGCTGGACAGGATGTGGCGGAGAGATCGGCTGGATCCTTGCCAGCAGCCCGGCTGTGAGAGGCTGATAAGAGCAGGGCCCGGCAGCAGGCTATGGCTGAGCTGCGGTTCGAGCAACCCTTCCCGTGCTGTTCTCCACGTAGGAAATGGTTTCGGAGCTGCAGAAGCTGGCGCGGCGGGACCACGGCGCCTTGGACTGCTGCGTCGTGGTCATCCTCTCGCACGGCTGTCAGGTGGGTTCGTCACGTCTCTCCCGTTGCTCGTTAGGCAGGCTGCCCACACGGGATGGGGACAGTTCCCTGCGCTGCTGTGTCACGCCGGGAGGGAGGGAGGGAGGGAGGGAGGGAGGGAAGTGGTCTGTCATGGGCGATGGTGGTATGTTTTGAGGAGTTGTACTCTGGTATCTGAGTCAAGACAATGGGAGCTTCTCCGGTGTAGTCCCATCCGGCATAGCCCATGGACGGGCGTTCTCTGTTCCAGAAGCTGGGGTGTGTTGTTGGGAACCGAACGTTGGGCAGGGAAGGGAGGTAGCGCTGACCCTCGTTCCGCGCTCGTTCGGTTCTTGCCGTTTCTCCAGCTCTGGCGGGGAGATGCGAGCAGTAGTGACGGCTCTTTATCAGGAGTCAGAGGCTGGGAGGGATGAGGAGAGGGGAGCAGTTGTTAGGAGAACAGCGTACGGTACGTGCCCGTCGTCCCAGAGGATGAAGAACCCTGTCGCTGGAGGAGGTGGGACGGGAGTCGGGGAATAGGAGTTGGATTGCTGGGTCTCAGCACATTGGAGACGCCTCCTGGGCGTCCCCTCCCCCTGATGGGGTGCGCACATTTGCACAAACGCGAGGCGGCGAGATTCCTTCTGGTGACTGTAGGCTACGGAGCACCTGATGAGGACCGGGCTTCTTCGGAACCGGCCTCGCCTTCCGCGTGACTCGCTCCTGGATTTTCCTCTTGCAGACGAGCCACAATCAGTTTCCAGGAGGTGTTTACGGAACGGACGGCAAACCCATTTCCGTCGAAAAGATTGTGAACTATTTCAATGGGTCCAATAGCCCGAGTCTGAGAGGGAAACCCAAACTCTTCTTCATCCAGGCCTGCGGCGGAGGTGAATCTTTGTTGTCGCTCCCGAAGCGAGTCGGCTGTTGGGTGTCAGCAGGCTTGGGAGACGTCGTTAGGCTGTGGCTTCTTGTTCCTTTTTTCCTCGCCGCCTCTTTCTCCAGCTGTCTGCTCTTACTCTGGGCCACGGATTCTTGCTGCTAGCCCGGGTGCAGTCCAAGGGCTCGGATGCGTGCCTCTCGTAGGAGGGCCTAACAATTTGCGTGTACCAGAACGGGTTTTCTGCTTGGTAGGGGTGCGAGACAAAAGGAGGGGAGTCACCGCGGCAGCACGTGGCCAGGCTGTGAGCGCCGAGCGGCAGCGCTGGGCCTCGAGCCCTGAGGTTGGTGCGGAAGCATGGGCTGAGGTCGCGCGTCTGCGTCGCCGGCGGGTCCGGGGCTGCCCGGGCAGCCCCCGGGGCATTTTGTGGGAGGGCCTTTTGTATTACTAATTTATTTTTCGTCCTTTTGTCCTGGAGGGCAGACGCTTGTGGAGCGTGTGGGTAAGATGGACCTCAGGGATAGTCTCGTTGCCGCTTCTTGCAGAACAAAGAGACCGAGGCTGTGTAGTGGATTTTGATGCGCCCCACGATGAGGCTCCCAGTGGTCCTTTGGAGTTGGACGCGACCCCTTTTTGGTCTCCGTTGGGTAACGTGGATGAGCCAGATGCCGTAGCCAGTTTGCCGACGCCCAGCGACATCTTGGTCTCGTACTCGACCTTCCCAGGTGAGACCGTCCGTGCCAGTCCGTTGCCAGGTCCGGGGGATGGAGTGGCAAAGTTGGGGGTGGTCAGGGGTGCTGGAGACGGTGCCTGGGGAGCGGCGCGGACTCGGTGAGGAGAGGACGGAAGAGCAGCTTCAGGGGTGATGTTCTCCTTCTGTCTCTGAAGGTTTCGTCTCCTGGCGGGAGGCATCGCGCGGCTCGTGGTACGTGCAGAAGCTGGACAACGTGCTGGAGCAGCACGCCCGTGCGGAAGACCTGCTGACCATGTTACTGCGGGTAAATGCCTGTTTTCCTGCTTTTTGTAGTTGTGGTGAAGGAAATAGGGGGAGCCGCCATCGGGCAGGGCACGGAGGCCCGTGTCCAGCAAAGGAGGGACGGTAGCGTTCAGTTAGTGGAGCGGCGAATCGGAGGTGCTGTGGAGAGGGGGAAATAGGAAGTGAGGGTCTGGCCTCGATCTGCCAAAAATCCCCTTGAGAATTCCCTAGTGAGAAGCAAGCCTGGAAAACTGGGTGTTCATCTTTTCTGAGGAAATTGCTGAAAACGGGCATAGCTCATTCTGTCCTTGGAAGTCCGAGATGACAGGCCTCGGGGCACCCTCCTAGGCATGCCACTGGGCAGGCCGCGCTCTTGGGGAACACCCACCGGGTCCCTGGTGCCTGGCGACCTCCGCGGGTGCTCTCTCTCTTTGGGTCGTGTGCCTGCTGGAGCTCCCGTGACACCGTGGTAAGTCTGGAGGAGCGCCGTGCCCTCAGGAAGGTGATGCCAGATGTTGGCGTTCACGTGTCCTGGCAAGCGAGGAGCGCAGCGTGCAGGAATGTGCTACCGGTGCGGGTAATAAACGTTTTCTGGTGCGTGCCTGTTGACCACAGCAGGTTGCTGAAGTGTGGGACAAGCGTAGGTACTTGCAGACACTTGTGCACTTCTCTGCGGGCTGGGAGAACGTATTATGTGGAGGCGGTGGGGGAGAGCAGGGCTGATGTTGTGTGGTTTTCTAGATGTCGCGGTGCCGCTTTGGGGTGCGGTGGCACGGCAGCTGTTGGTTTCAGGGGAGTAGAGCGAGCCCCTCTCTCTGCCGGTTGGCCTCCCGTGCGAGGGAAGGGGCTCGTTTTCAGAGACCCACCTTTCTCTCCCATCCCACCGTCCCGTTCCCCGTCCCCAGCGCCGTGCTGCCCGTGAGGGGTCGCGTCCCGCTCCTCAGCCGCTCTCCTTCTGTTCCAGGTGGCGAACGCCGTCTCTGCCGAGGGGACGTACAAGCAGATGCCGGGCTGTTTCAACTTTCTCCGGAAAAAATTCTTCTTCCCGTGCAAATGACGTGGGGGCTCTGAGGGCCGTGCCCAGCGTGGCAGTTAGTTTCCTGTGGCCAGATGAAATCTGTGCTGGCCGTGTCTTGGCGTCGCTGCTCGCGGCGGCCTTTGTCTGTCACGGTGATTGTCCTGAGAAATGCGATCCGTGAATGCTGTCCTTGCTGTGATGCAGAGAGAAGATGGAGACTGGCTCAGTGCCGATGGGAAGCGTTAGGGACGGAGCCGGGGCGGGCAAAGGAAGCCCCCTCGCCGGGGAGGTGACAGCCCGGAGCCCCCGCAGTGGCAGAGGTGTGTGCCTCTTGCTCGCCACGGCACGGCCGCGCTCGGCCTCCCGGTGTTGTTGACTTCCGGTGATGATGATGTTTGCGTCCTTTGCTGCCTGGCTAACGGATGGACGGAATCAAAGGCTGGCGGCGCAGCGGAATGGAATGGTTTTTGCAATCAATGTATCTTGTTTTCAATAAAACACAGCGAGCATGGATGAAACGTGTGGTGGTGTATTTGCTTGTCTGTTCCATCCCATCAATGCTGTTTCAGCATCTCCTGCGGGCTTCCTTGATACGGGAAGAGCCAGACAAACCTCGCCTGTGTGAGTCAGTAGCCTCCAGCTGGTACTGGAAGCGTTTCTAATGCGGCCGTGCCAGCGTACGGAGAAGGGGAGGAGACAGCTTGCGTCCTTTTCGGGAGTCGATCAGATGCTAAATGGGAGTGACAGCCAGAAACCGGCGAGGATTCCTTGGGCTGCCAGAGCTGAGCGAAAGCGCTCGATGTGAGGAGCTGCCGGGGGCAGCGGCGTTGACAGTGTTGGGTCAGAAACTCTGGACGTGCGTGGGATCTTGGTGGGAGAGCATCCCTGGCCTGGTTTCATTGCATGGGTGTTCTGCACTCTCGTGGATGCACGCGAGGTGTTTGGCCCCGTGGATCTCCATTCTGCCCTTGCTGTCACCCGGTATTTCTCAGCTCCGTTTAAGGCCGCGCTTCAGGCGCTGTGAGGCAGCTTAGCCCTGCCAGTGGAGTGATTGTCAGCCCGGGGTTTGGGTCGAGCTGCGTTTGAAGGCTGATAGGGCTCAAGGAATGATGAAAGGAGCTGAAAACTGGAGAGAAGTAATGAAAAGCTGAGTGAGGGAGAGAGGAGGAGGGGGCTTGCGTTGACTCTCTCCTTCAGTGGCCTCGAGCCCCTGCCGCTTAGGGCTGAGTGTCCTGCAGCGATCCATGCCTGGCCATCCCCCCTGGCCCGAAGCCCCTGTGCTGGGGAGGAAGCCCCTCGGTCGCTCGAGACGGGCACGGTTCCTTAGGTCACGCTTTGTCCCCATGGGCTCCCCAGCTGTGCTGTGTGCGGGATGCTGCCCTGTGTGGGGGGCCAGTTTTGGGTCCCCGAGGTTCTTGCCCACGGGGTGTTGCCCCCGAAGCGGCCGCCCTGCTGTGCCAAAGGACTCGCTGGGGCTGCGGTGGGGGTTGAGGGCTGGGTCGAGCGAAGCCAGATGGGGTGGGATCGCCGGGAGACCCTGAAGCCGTGTGGCCTTGGGGCAGGGGGGGCTGGGGCCTAGGAATTTGG